CTAATATTTACTCTGTTTAATCACTTCTACCACACTGTGTCCTATTAAGGTTTCCCAGATAATTCTTGATGAACTGATGTGTAATCTGATGCTTATCTTTACTACAACACTAGAAATTGTAACCTAGGAGCAATTAGTGCAGCACAAGTAGCAAAATCACCACTTACTCAAGGCAAAATTAAGTCTGCTAAAATACAGTCCCAGATTGATATAACACACCCAGCCTCTCCAGTGCAAAATCCTCTGGCTGACTTCACGACAGCAGTGGAGAATGTTGAGATTTGTGGTTCAGTTCAGTGAAATGTACCACTAGTTTATAGACCTGATATAGCTGCATGTTTTGTAGTTGATGGTTATGAGTTAATCTGGGTGGAAACTGTGTAAGATATTTGGGGAACATTATGGAAAGCCAATTGCATGTGAGATATGGGGTGTGTGTATGCTTTTTGTTACAAGTGGGCTCAGGTTAAACCCTGCCTGAAACACAGGACAAGCACTGCCAGTCAGTTGCTGAATTCACAGACGGTACAAAATCACAAACCAACCAGCCAATTATATTTTAGCATCAAGTGTCATACATATCCAGCCAACATGAAAGTTTATAGTTCAGCTTATTGTGCAAACCCAGAAAATTGGATCAAATAAAACATGGTTAATTTAACCATGGATAAGCATGATTAAATTAACCACAATAATTCTGGGATTGATGGACCAATGTCCCCATTTAGTATAAAGAAATTTCATATTTTTCTAATGTTCTTGATTTGGTATATATTGAAAAATTGCACTGTTGTCTTTTTTATCAGGGTATTTTATTTTTATTTTCCAAATGAATGAATTCTGGATTTATCTTACTTTTGTTTTGGTTCCCTTATATATAAAACTCCTCACATGGCAGGGAATGCCAAGATACTTAGAATATATTTTTTGAGGATAAAGAGACATTGTTTTAATAATAATGGAAATGATCCAGACAGAAATGAATAATAATAAAGTAAAATATATATATAACTGTCCAAGCAGTGATTAGTAGTTGGGGGGGAAAGGTGTTGGGGAGAAAGAGAGAAAAGAGGATTACTAAAATCATCTTTTTAAGATTTGTTTTATTCTGCTTTTTAAAATTTTTTACTCAAAATCCTTTGTGTATGTTTTATATATATTTGCTTGTAAATTTTATTTAACCAATTAAAAAGGGGTTAAAATATCCAAAATTGTAATAAATTTTTAGTTGATATCTTTTAACAAGAAATATTTTAGAAATGACCTCATTGCATTTATGTTGGGATGCAGCTGAAATCTATTAATCTAAATATATTGTTCTACTTTGGTAAGAAGCTATTACATATATTAACTCAACTTTGAGTTTAATATCTTTAGATGTTCATATTCCATCTTTATGAAATGGGTGCTGACCTCTGGACAAAGAAAATATACCTGATAAAAATATTGTTCAGCATCAGAAAAACATACATATGGCTTTAACAATTGGATGGTTTGCAGAATTGATTAAAATAGATTAACCATGGATGATTGTAACAAATCATGTTTTAATTTATTAATATATATATGTCTATCTGCAGCTTTTTTTACAGTTTTTTTCCTCTTATAATTTTGTGTATTTTTTGTGTATTTAATAAAAAAGAAAAAATGAGCTGTTTGTTTTGTGTTATTTGCAAGTCAGATTCTTGACAACAAAAATGCAGAAAGTATAAATATTGCAAAGCAGTTTGCAAAAGTAGAAAGTATATTTTAGTAGATATCACGGCCCATTTGTCACTAACAACAGAGGTTCATAACTCAAGTTTTAGAAAAAATAAACCGTATATTTTTGACATCATATCCCAACCTGGCATAGTCTAAACTTTTCCCATTCTTGGTTAGCATGATTTAAAATTCTGAAAATGGCAATTCCATCTTATCAGGTGCGTACTAGATTTGGGAAATTTATTCTATAACCACCATTATTCACTGAAGATGCAGTTATCTCATATAGTTTAACAGCTTATAATTAAATACACCATAGAATTCAACACAGAAAAAAGCATGAGAGGGAATGGCAGGACATATTTGAAAGGTTCTTGGTGTTTTAGTATATTACAAGCTCAGTCTCAGCCAGAAATTTGATGCAGCTGCAGTATTAGGCTATAGTCAGTGAAACTGTGTACCATTGTGTATATCATAGCAATTAAATGGTTCTGCTCCATTTTCTTCTAAACGTGATACTCTCTTTCATTGTGCTCACCACATTTTAAGGACATTGACAAATACATGTGTATTTAGACAACAGCAAAAGTGATGGGGAATCTGGAAATCAAGTCCTGTGAGAAACAATTGAAACTGAAGACATGAATTTGTTTAGTCTGGGGAAAAGGAAAATTATGATAATGATCTTCAGATATCTGAAAGGCTGTCATGCCAAAGATGACTAGATTTGTTCTCTCTTACTCCACAGGATAAGACTAGTATCAATTGCAGGGAAGCAATTGGGAGAACTTTGACAAAAATAACTACAAACTGCTCTGTAATTGCCACACTAAATTAGGAGTTTGTTAATACTGTTAGGTGTGCATATTTTATTAATCTACTGCAATAAATGTATTTTTAATTGGTTCTACAAGGTACCTTCTACATTATGTACACACATGCATACATACAGATAATTAATTTTTATTTTGACAAGGAAAAAAAATGCATGCAATAATATAAATAGTTTAATCCATATTAAAGTGAATGCTAGTCAAAATTCCTATCACACTTGCATGAAAACATAGGCTATGGCTGGAGGGGGGCTCAGGATGGTCTATAAATCAGGCAGATTGCCAGTTCATGAGACTTTAGCTGTAGCAGACCCCCAAATAATTAAAACAAAATGGTAGTTACTGGCATTACCCTTTAAAACAGATATAAATGGTAATTCTTGTGTTACAGTCCTCTGGTGGAATGACTTAATACATAGAATGACCATAAGCAAACTTTTGATAGTACGCTTGGATTTTAGATGAATCTTGACAGAACTATACGTCTCTGGCTAGAACAGCTTTCCAAAATCTGATACTCTCTGGATGTACTCTTATTTATTCTATTATTAAACTTCTATGTCATGCACCTTGCTGAGGTGACTCTAGCTGGCTTACACTCATGCAATTAAAATACCATATACAACTCTAAACAATTAAGTAAGAACCATATATTTAAAATTCAGTTAAAGTTCAATTAACCAAGATGGAAAGGGAACAAGGCGTGAAGGGTGGAGGTGGGGTCTGACCAGCTGATTAACCACCTCCAAGATGTCATTTCCCCATTGGGGCCCCAGCTGGCACAGCCAGGTCTTCAAGTCCTTTCGGAAAGGCTAAAAGGGAGGGTGTGGCTCTTACCTTGGGAAAGCGGGGGCAGCATGTTCCAAAGGGCAGGTACCACCATCAAAAATTCCGGTAACAAATACAACTATTACTGTTTAGACCAGCCTGTATACAGCCCACCCAGCAATGTGTTTATTGAAAAATAACCAATCTATTGCCACCAAACTTCACCACCACCAGGAAAGATCTGTGCCTAGGTTTTTGTAGTCACTTCCACTCTGAAGATGCACTGCTAAGTCACCAAGCCTCACAGTTGGTGGCAGTTTCATAATTGTCTACTGGGCTGCTTGTTTTGGCCAGCTTTGTAGTCCAAAATTATTTTTCAAGGTGTTAATCTGGTCCTTTCCCTTCTACATTATACACAGCTTTGCTTTAGACTCTTCACATCTCAGAACACGACTTCAGTATAAAAGACAGCAATCTGATAATCTGAGGCGCCTCAAATACTAAATATAAATGATCTTATCAGAAAAGGGGTAATGAAGATGGATAGGAATGGGAATTGACACATTAAAAAATGTGAATAGCTTATATATTGTTTTAAAAATGTTATTTGTTATTCTTACTGTTATTTGTTCTAGCAAAAATGTTTTTAAAATCAGAGCTTAATGTGTCTAGGATGCATAAAAATAATTATCACTCCAAAATTGTCTAGAATGTATAAGCTACTTCAAACTTTTGTTGGAAATGGGGGCAACATGAAGGGTAATTTTATCATGCCTAGAATTTTAAAAAGTTAAACTGTCTGGGTTCGAATACATGTATCGATAGAAAGAATTTTAAAGATCAACATTTGACTGAAAGCAGAACTTTTCTTGCTAATCAATTAGAAAAGAGCCATGGAAGACTATTTTCTTTCTTCTGTCAAGATTCTTTTTATAATTGTTTTTTTCTGCCTCTTTTTCTATTTTCACTATTATTTATATTTATCTTTATTAAAAATCTTTAATAAAAATGATTAAAAACTTTCCTACCGAAGTCTTAAATATGTGAAAAGCTATGTAAACAATAGATTTAAAACAAATGCCAGGTTCTTGTTGGTTTGGGGAGAATAGAACCAATCATAAATCATCTTACTTAAAAGTTTATCAATTGACAAATGCCAGGCGTGGGCAATAAAGTAGTGTTTTCTAATCTTGGAATTCTTTTTCCGATCTTTCCCAGAATTGCCGGCTGGGGAGTTCTGGGAGTTGGAAGTCCACACATCATAAAGTTGCCAAGTTTGAAAACAGCTACAATAAAACTATATTCGCTTCCCCCCTCCACCCATCATTGCCTTTTATTATTAAATACATGCAAGACCCTTAATACAGCTTCAAGACAAGTTCACCTTTAAAAATAATGTTTGGGATGCAAATGCTAAAACTTGCAAAAATTCATCAATAAAAACAGGAGATCTTGAAGCTGCTGCATTCCTTAAATGGGCGTAGGGAAGAGCCAAAGAGCTGCATGGTAGTTCACCCTAATCTTGTTGAACACACGGAACCCCCACCCACCCAAAAGAAAACCCCAGAAGCACGCCCACTTCCCCGATCTCCCCTCCGCTTCATTCTTCTTCCATCTCCCTGTCCCCTAGCGTCCCCGTCCCTCACGTCATTTCCTGGGCGGCCATCTTGGAGGCCTGGCTATCCTATCAGGCTCCCTTGGATTTCGGGTGGGGGGGGTTCTACCTCGTGCCGGATCTACCTCGGCTGGCAACGGCAGGGACGGGGCTGCCTCTGGGGCGCTCGACTAAAGTCGCTGGCGGCCGCCGTTCGCGCATCGCAGCGCCTGCCTGACCGTCGCTATGTCGGATTTCGATAGCAACCCTTTCGCGGACCCAGACATTAACAACCCTTTCAAGGTAAGGAGGGAGGGAGGGAGGGAAACGCAGGCAGGAGTGGACGAGCCGCCGTGTCTCGGCGGAGCAGCCGCTTGGACCACGCCGAGTTGCGCCGGAGCAGAGCGGAGTGGGAGGGGGGAGCGTTCGTTATTCGTTACTCTCCGGGCTGGCGGACATACTTGCAAACTCTACCTTCCACCGTGGCGGGGTCTTTTTCCGCCCCGCCCTCTTCACCCTTTTGCGGGACACAGGGATCTCGCCGGGCTCGATCTTTGGCCTCCCAAGGAAGCTCCATTTGGGAACCTGCTCTTTCTTCTCTGCCTTTCTTCGAGGAGGAGGAGGAGGAGGCTGTCTGGTTGTATTAGCGATGTTCCGCCCTCGAAGGGGCTTCCAGAGGAGGGGTGGCCAGGTGCGCGAAGAGGTGTAGGGCTTGGATGCTCCAGTGGTTTGCTTCTCCCAGAAGGGTGCTGCCCTCTGTTGTCAGGTTCCGGCCCTCGTTGGTAAGGTCGTCTGCTTCCCCATCTCCTGTCTAAGAAAAGTCAATGATAGAAAGAAACGGTGACCTGATGACCGGTACTTTTTAAATGGCTTATGAATTACTTGGGGAGGTGGCCAAATGTGCCTGCAAGTATTGAATTCTTTACAAAGCAAAGGCAGCTGAATTGACAGAGGAGGGTAAAAAGATTATACCAGGGTAATCACTTTGTAAGGTCACCTGGAAGATTGTCAAATTTTATTTGTTTTTGAAATCCCATCTTTGTTTCTTTATAGTAACTCAAGGCAGCAGACATACACAATGCTTCTTCCTCTAGTTTTCTCCCAACAACATCTTGTGAGGTGACTGGGGCTGAGAGAGAGAGAGTGGTCCAAAGTCATCCAAAGTGGCTTTCATGACTAAGGCAGAACTAGAAGTGACAGTCATATAGTTTCCAATATGCAGGCAAGGCATAAGATTGATGCACCAACTATTACTAAGATGATATACAAACATTATGAAATAAGTACACTTATGCCTCTGTACCAATTTGAAGGCTTGAATAAAATGGGATGCCTATTTCTGAACTTGTCATATAACAAGAATGGAACTGGGTTTCCCCAAGGTAGGAAGTAGCAGGAACAATGAATAATAATTTGGTCTGCCATTTTTATAAATATACAGTGTGTGTCAGAGAGAGGAGGAGGGACGAAGGAAGGAAGGAGAGAAATAAATGAAAGAAAAAGGAAGAATGGAAAAAAGAAAGAAATGCGGAAAACATTGGTTCCGGACATTATTAAGAAAGAAGCCAAAAATAAATTGCTAACACTGTAATGTTTTTGTAAAAATCAGTGATGTAACCACACTTGAAATATGTACAGTTCTGAGGCTAAGAAAACACTGTAGGGAAGGAAAAGTGCATGAAAGTGCAATCAGAATAATCAAGGGACTTGAACTCATTTGAGAAGTATCACACTTTTTTTTAGTTGGGAGAAAGTGATATTTAAGCAAGTACTGTAATAAAAAAAAATGCATTTGATGATATATGGCTCAGGAGAGGTAAGAAGAACCAGTAACTTTACAATGTGTATTTAAAATAATAAATTTATTGCTCTGGATGTAATGATAGACCATTTAGAATATTAGACAAATTATTGACTAACTTGTGATCCTAAATTTTACTTCTAATTAAGGCCGGAGTAGCAATCATCACCCCATGTTTTGCATTTCAAATCTGGAAGTTCTCCTTTCAGTATCGTAAGCAATTTACTGTACTTCTTGGTTCATTTGCTAGCAGGAAGGTGCTATTATTATGTTCTTATTTGTGTACTTCAGACATATATATTGGCTGTTTGAGGAAAATGCTACCATAGATTAAGCATTTAATTTAATCCATCCTGGTTTTCTCTTCCTTTCAAATTTGTCAAAAAGGCCTTAAACAGATGGCATTGTTAAAGTCTCTAAAGAAAATATAATTGTTTCTATATGGCATTAATTGTAAATGAAGAGAATTTCTGATTAATATCTGCTTTGTTTTAAACTATTATCTTAAATACTTACAGTATTTATTAAAAATGTAGGATTTGTCAAGTTGGGAGAAAAATCTAGAGTAACCTAGAGAACTTCAGAATAATAGTAAGCAAAGTGCTTTCCTGGAATGTGTAAGCATTTTCAGTTGTAAACATACAACCTTCAAAATACATTTTTCCTTAGTAATTCCTACAAGTGTATTTTTATATTTAGTTAATTAGATTTGCATAATCTATCTGGCTTTTGAACTTTTACTCTGTTAATCTCATTAGACATTTAGTCTGTTTATACTTTCATCATTTAGCACAGTTCTTTCTTTTCCTGGTGGGTGTACCATTTATCACTATCAACTTTAGTGAAAGTTATCCAAACTCAACCTTATGTGTTTCTCTTTGAAATTCTTTACAGTATTGATTCTTTCCATTCAGACCTTTAAGCTTATCTAGAACTGTTTTCTGAAGTAAGACAGCGACTATTAAAACCAGCTTGGATTTCTAATGGGCTAGATCTTAATTTTTTAAAGTATGGCCTCACCCAATGTAAGATGTTTTTTCTATGTCATACCCAGTTCTTGTTTTGGCCATCAGTCATACCAGGTAGGCCAGACAGGAAATACTACCAGATAAGCTAATCCTACTTTATTGTAAACCTACATTAACATTAATTTGAAAATACAATTCTCCAACCTAGCTGAAGAAACTAGAGAATATCCCTTCTGAGCCTCTTGCCTCATCCACTGTCCAGGCTATGCTATCTCTTATCTGAGCATTCCCGAGGCAGCATTTCTTTGCCCCTGTCCCAAGGAATATACTACCTACCCATTACAATGGTTACTATGTAAAGATAATTATAATTATCTCAACATACTATATTTCATCTCTCTCTGACCTTTCGTTATTCGTTAGTCCTCTCTTCCTTCACTGATGCATATGTTTTTCTCAGTGCATCTAATGAAGTGGCATGTAATTCCTGAAGACTTCTTCTGTAATAAATTTGTAGTCTTTAAGATGCCATGTGTTCAGAGCTTTCAGATATTAGAGCTTACTCTGTTGCATAAGTGTCTGTCCTCTAGTAAATTTGCTGGAAACCTGCAATAGTAGGTTTCAAGGATTGAGGAAAGGTGCTCTTTGGGAATATTAAATACACTAGTACAAGTTAAAATTCTCAGATTACATAAGGAGCCCAAATTTTAACTAGACTGAGGATTTTTCCTTCCTAATTTTTCAACTTTAGATCTTAAGGCATCTCCTCTCTAGTTTCTCTTCCCCCTCTTTGCGATGTGGTAGTGCCAGGAGCATCTTCTCCCTCCCATCCTCCAAGTATAAGAAATATTGGAAAGCATCATACCTCTCTATTACCATTTGTTGGCAAGAATGGACACACAACTTCCTTAACTTTGCCTCCCTCCTGCTTGGTGGAAATTGGAGTGGTTTCCAGAGTTGCTTCCCTCCTCCCTGTTCCTAATAGCAGAAAGCAAAAAGGGGGAGAATTTTCATCTCTTCCATTTTTTTATTTTCTCAGTAATTTTCTTCCTTTGCGATATTCCTTCTAATAAATAAGATGTTCCATTGTGTCTCTTCTGAGACAGATGTGTAACATATTTCCACCTAAATTCTTCTCTCCTATCCTCACTCCCAAGATTGGGGATGATATTGTAATATACAAGGGGCGGGGGTGAATCATGACTGGCATGAGAAATAATGGAGACCTTCAGCGTGGATGGAGGTTGTATTGGGATTTATCTATGCAAGTAGTTAAAATGTTCCACTAGGCATCCAGCTTCTTAGCTGAAGGGAGAAGAGAAATCAGGTAGAATCAAATCATATTTGAAAGCTAAATGTGATAGGAGACCTTCACAGTGATGCAACAGAGGACTTGCAGTGTTTTGGCATTATCTAGCTCAAGGATCTTCAAACTTGGCAAGTTTAAGATTTGTGGGCTTCAACTCCCACAATTCCCAAGCTAACATGACCAGAGAAGGAATTCTGGGATTTGAGGTCCAAAAGTCTTAAAGCTGTCAAGTTTGAAGACCTCTGATCTAGCTGTTCTTTAAGGAGATCCTGAGCAAGCTGTAACTCTAAAAATAATTGGAGGCCTCTCAAATAACTTACAACTGGGATAAATTTGATAGCAGGCATGACAGTGATCTGAAACAGTGATATCTGAATAGAGGCATTTTGAAAGCAAATTTAGCTGTAGTTAAAAGATCAGTTGTCTTGCTGGTAGTTTGTGCAAGAATGAAGTTAATACTTGTAAGGTAGCATATATCCTCTTGATTTCTCCAGCCAACTACAGAAGATGGATGTAATGTAGGTGGAGCTTAATGTCCAATAATTGAAACAACTTTCCAGAATTGTGCTGTTAATTGTACGCCTCTGAAAGACATAAGATGATTGGGCAGGCTTAGTTCTAAATTCTGAAAAATTTGCTGAACAAATAAATGAGCTGTCTCAGGGGCAGCAGGAGACTATGGTGGATTAAATTGAGATACCTTAAAAATAATAGCAGGTACTATCAGAATAATATCCAGGCAGTTGATACATGGTAGATCAGCAATAAATGTTCAGGGAAATTATATCCTGTGATCTCTCTACAGACGTGAAGGAATGCATTACTCTAGCTCAGCAGTCACCAACCAGTGGGCCGTGGACCACTGGTGGGCTGTGAGAAAATTTTGGTGGGCTCACCCCCACCAAATCTCACCCCCAGAGCAACCCCTCCGAAGCAATCCAGGCTGCGCAGAAACACAAGGCTGCGCTGCCCACATGGCCTGTGGGAACCTTCCCCGCCCACTCACTCCTTACCTGGCAAACTTGCCTGCTAAATTGCTATTTTTCCTTTTTCCGACTATCCTCTGTTCTGCTGTGCCGGGAGATTTAGATTAGCTATGAAGTAGGAAATGGTTGAATTTCTTGCTTTCTAGCTAGTCTTTAGATCTTCAGCTCTGCTTTTAAGCACAGCCGAACCTCCCCTAGGACTGAAGGTTTAGTTATTCAGTGCAGACTCACGGCAAGCA